GTAGAAAGAGCTTATTAAACATGAATTAGATACAGCTGCAACAAGTCCTTTGAGCAAGGAAGTCATAAAAAGCAATATTCTGAGCAGAAAGAAACAATCTCATGGCATAGCCCGTTCCTGCTGCCCTCTGTATACAGACAGTGTTTGCATGTTTGGAGGTAACAGCTTTTTGGTGAGGTACTTCGTATCTGCAAATTCTACTACAAAAGCTGAATATAGTCCCCACTGCTCTTTCAAACTTTTTTTTTATATTTAGGCAGCTATAGCTGTCATTCAACTTGAATAAATATGAAATAATGGTAGCAGAGATAAGTAAAACCAAATCTTTCTCTGTACAGAAAGCAGGCTAGCAACAGTTGCATTTAAGCACAGCAGTAGCAGCAGCAGGATTGCTCTCTGAAACACCCCTTCAGTTTATTAAGTTGGTTTTAAATACTTATTGAATAAATTGAGTCCCTCACAATTTTTACTGTAGTCATCCTCAGAATGCTGCTGTGAAAAAAGAATTACTACTTTCCTATTTCACAAGAGGCAAAAGACAGAGCGATTCCCTCCATGTATCACGCTATTGAACTCCTGCATCCCAGAACATATGCTAGATCCTAAATATGCAAAATTTTTGGCTGAATCCATACGAGGGGCCTAGTCCTGCACCTAAATTCACCAAGGAGGAATCCTTAGCTCCAGCAAAACCCAAATAATTTCAGGAACAATCTGTGGCCCGCGTTAGGAAGAAAAACACATCCTTTGCCAGATGAGCACTATTTTTCATTAATTTCATGCTATACAGCATTCTCTGCTAAAGCTATCTACCTTGCAAAAACAAGTTAAAAGAATTTGCACATGATTTAGGAGATACCAGAAATAAAACTACTGAGCACAACCTTAATTTTCATCCCGCTCTGTATCCTTTAGAATAGACCCTTGTCGTGGCACCACCTTTTACTTTTACTATGCCCTGATATTCAGCCCAGATCTGAGCTCTACCCAGCTCTACCAATACTTTGGTTTATTTTCACTGTTCAATACATAGGCCCATCAGTATGTAGCACCATTCTTTACTCCACAATATTCAAATCTTGCTCTGTGGACAGAATTATTAATTTCTTCAAGGGCTTTTCTACAGTGCTCATCACTACGGTATTTAAGTGCCTCAAAAGCTTTAATCACATTCCCTTCTCACAACACCCCGTGGTGATGTTATTACCCTGTTCTTCGGATGGGAACTGAGATGGAGAGATCCAGCTAAAAGGATCTAACACTGGGTGCTCACTCTGGGAAGCCTATTACCTGGGTTTTTTTCAGTATACTAAGCTTTATGCAGCCCTTTATGTGCCTCAAGCACAGATCCAAGTGATTTCCCTGACAGACCTGGATGCTCAATACCTCTGCAAATCAAACCTTCACCTCAAATGGCAATCTGGAAAGGAAGGATACACAATTAATGACCACTAGGAGGAAGTTTGGTTCAAAAGACTTAGCAGTACTGATCAGGAACTCTGAGGCAAAGGCAGCATTACATTTAATTCTTCCAAGCACCTTAACCGTGACCTCATCTTTTTGCTCCTTGCAATCCCTGCTTCGTTTGCCGCACACCTTTCATTTTCTGCAAGCGAAAGGACAGAGGTCCTCTGGACAAACAGCCTTCTATATCACCTCAATCCTCTGAGCTAAATAAGACACAATTGCTTTGGGGAAAATAGTATGTGATCACAAGACTGCATCATAATGCATATACACAAAGGAGGTTAATTAAAGTTGCCTGTGCATTTCTTAACTCCTAATTCCATTCTCTGTAATCACACTGACTCCATAACCATAGCCATTTGAGTTTACAGAGTAAACGACAGCTGCAGTAAATTTCCATTCTTTATGTGGACCAGTCATTAAAGGAGAATAAGACAAGCGTTTTGCCGCTGGCTTTCACAGATATTTGCTGACAGCGGAGTTATACTGAGATTCAAGAATTACGGATTCCACTCCACATTCTGCAAGTGAGGGTTCCCTGCTGGAAAGACCTTTTAGCTCTGTGACTCCCAAGTATTTCCCACTTGTTGTGGTCCTCTCTAGCCTGTCACTTTGCCAGTTAGGTTGCACAGACCAGCTCCAGTCTCCTCGCCTTTCCAACACCTCATTCCAGCCAAGCTGCCGCTGCTAACAACCATCACTACAGGCTGATATTTTACAGCATCTGGTGGGAGCAGATATGTCCCTTCTAGCCCTGTGATATTCATCATGAGAAAAGGTGAGTTAAATAAAAATGAGTAAGCTAATAAAAAGGCTCTCCTGGTTAAAAGCTAAGTGATTACAGCTGCTACACCAGATTGGAAATGACAGAAGCATCTTGTAAAAGAGTCACTACATGCACACCTACATCAAGAAAGCAAGCAGAAAGGCTGAGCTGTTTATAAATCTACCATAGAGAAAAGGATCCATGAGGGGATCAGTAACTCTGTTCACAGAGCTCTTAAGCTAATTCTTCTAGTCTCCAAAAGGCTGCATCAATTTTAAGGACATATCTATGATCCTCCCAAACCATGAGCATGTTTTCAAGGAGTTTCTGATCAATGCAGTCTCTTCTTAACTTCAAATACCTGCCTACAGGCTTGCATACCTCCGTACAGGCTGGCATGCATACAGCTTGCAGATTGCAGGCTTCTGAGAAGCTCCAAATGAGCAGACCTAACAGTGGAAAAACTTCTACCACGGTGCAAGTAGGGAAGAAATGGGAGAAAAGGGGCTAATAGGATACAAATAGAGGAAGTAAGCAGAGAATGACAGGACTAAATCAGTTGGGTTGAACAGGAATGGAAGATGTCTAAGGGAAGAAAGAGTAAAGAGAGCGGGTATTAAGAAAGAAAAGTTAAAAATGAGAAGAAAGGGAGATGAAATGGCCAGGGCAGACAGCTGAAATACAGTCTGAGAGAGAGGAGAGAACAAGAAAACACAAACTAAAGAAGGGGAAGAAGATGCAGCTTGGGATGCAACGAGAAATATGTGACTTAGAGGAAAATGGCATTGAGTTAACAGGTATATGAGCAAATTCAGTGCCTTAATCTTCTGCTCCCACAACTTCATCAATTTCTGAGTTAAAAAGAAAAAAAAAAGTAAAGCAAGTGAAAATACTGACATGGGCCTAACCCCAGAGCACAAACATGAGAAGATGGAAGCACAATGCAGCAAGAAAGAAGACTCAAGAAAAAGGGGTAAACAGCCAAGAGAATGGACATGTCATGGGAAAACAGCCAGTACTTCATGGGGCCAGTTAGTGGTCAATAAAGAGACAACAGAGATTTAAAAAAAAAGTGGAAGGGGAAAAATTAAAAAAAAAGACACGCAAGCCCAGAGTATATGATTACTGAAAAAAATAACACAGTACTGGTTCTACCAGAGGAAGGGTAAGGCTTAGGCTGAAGAAGGTCTAAGGTATTTGCTCTATGCTTAGAGGAGAAACAGGAACACTGTTTTTTTTTCAAGAAAGACTTCTACCAAAACAAATCAGGCAAGCACATACCAAGTAACCTGTATTTATGACCATGGAACAGACTTGGAAATTTCCTCCCTTCTGTTGACCTCAAGCAGCAATATAACCCCACACACTGTATATTGTTCTCACTTGTTTACCAAGAAAACAGTAACTCATAGTTCTCATATGACAAATGTAAAGTGGTAACAGCAAGGCCTGCGAGACAAGATTTTCAAAAGTAACTAATGACTCTACATTATGACTTCTCATTTTGAAGTAAAAAAAAAATATAAATACTACCCTGAGGCAGAAAGCTGATGGGGAAAATTTCAGCTCAAACAATGAAATACTAGCAAAGTTGTAAAACCTTTGAAAATAGGAGCTTGTAATAAAAAATGTTGGGCAACGTTAATTACAGTTGTTCCTGCCTGAGTAGTTGCCTATAGTATCCCTCCTCTAACGCGGTTTGCTTTATGAAAAACTAATTAAAAAAAATCTGAAGTGACATTTATACTAAAATATACTTATCTAGGAAAAACTTAAATACAACGTAATGAAAAAATTGCATATATATCATCAAGTTATCATTATACAAATAAGACTTGTCTGCATATATGAATATATTTTGAAGAAAAAAGAAGTGTCAGTTTGGGGAGAGGAATTGTTAAGAAAAAAAAAGTACAGCATGGATCCAAGACAGTTAAGAGAATGAAATGAGACATGTAAATCACTGTACTCATTTTTTGATTGTTTGATCCCATTTATGTAAAAAGCAGAATCTGCCCCTCAGGACTAGGCTCTGAAAGATGTGAATCAGTAAAGATTCAAGCCTTTCTCTGTATCATTATTTTTCGGTTACATTTACATTCTCAGTTGCCAGTACAGTCTGTAATGCGCAATAGTCAGAATCACAAAACCCGCACTGCAAAGGTTTGCATAAAAATTAATTAGCTTTCATCTCCAGAGAGTATGCATCCTTCCAGGTCACCACGGAGGCCACTGGAGGTGCAACTGTGGCTGCTTCAACACTGGAGCTCATTCCCCAGCTCCACTTTCCCATCTCACCAGCATAATCAACTTTGGTGATAAAAAGGAATTGTTCCATCAACTCTTTTACAAGACTGTCACAAGCAGCTTCATTCACTGCAACAACACTTATGAAGCAGCAAGTAGCTGACATCACAGGCTCAGGGAATGCATTTACATTAACTGAAAAAAGAGAAGTAATCAAAAAAAGCATAAATTACTTCACTATCATTTAACAAGTAACTTTTGTTTTTCATTCCATTAGAAACTGCAGTGCCAATCAAAGAAGGTGCTCCCAGACCTCTGCTTCCAGTGAAGTCTAAGGCATCTTTCTGTTCACCAAAACAGCAGGAGAAACAGGCTTCAGAAGTGAACGAAGGGTACGCAACACATCAGAGCAATTCAGCGTGGAAAAGAAATATTCTGCAAGGACATGCCCCCACAAAAGCATATGCACATACAATAAATTTTAACTATGTAAACTGCCATAGTGGCCAATATTTCTTACATCATTCAGCTGCTTATTGCGGGCTGGGATGATCGTATTGGTTAGTTGCTTATTCCCTGCCTTTAAAGCTGCATCTCTTCTTGCTTGCTCAAGCAGAACTCTTGCTCGTTCTTTAAGTTCTTCCTGTCTTGACAACATTTGTTGCTTAAAAATAAAGAAATATAATTAACAGCAAGGCAGCCTCAGGGTACTTAATGTTTATACAGTAGTTAATAGCCAGGAGCCTTCCTATATAATGAAGGTCAGGAGTCACATGGATTACAGCTTCATGAGGGGACAGAGCATTCTGTAGAAATGAAAAGTAAAGATGATCAAAATGTAAAATTAAAAAAGTCATAGGCCTTTATAATGTAAATAAGAGTTCTCTCCCCTCCCCTTAAAACTTAATTTCTATCAACATTTAATGCCTTTAAACTGCAACTGTGGAAAACAAATAATTGGCTTCATGGAAGCTATGTTAAATGTGCTATGTGTTTACTTATTTACTTTAATATGTATGCAAATATAATGCTTTGTTGACTACTTATATGGGTATCGCTCATTTATAACCTAAATTGAACACAAAGAGGCTGGGTACAAGGCAAAGACACCTGCAAAAATATCTGCTTCTACTTCATTTATGAATATCCACAAGAAAGTCCCTTCTTCATACAAAACTGATTATATTGTAGAGTAAAAATAATAGAAGGGGGGCTTCTGCATAGGCAACATGAGCAGCTCCCATACATATATACTCCCAAGCGCTGACTTCTTAGTCAAGGTCAACTGTGAAGACTCTGGGAAAATGTGTCTCTAGGCCTTTACAGAGGTAGAGCTGGGACAGATATTGCAGGTTGTGCTCTTGCAACAACCACGTGGAAATTGAGGTGGTTGACTCTAACCATCAATTGAGTGTTCAAGGTTAAGATTGAGGCTCACATCTGAGATTTTATTACCATGTGCAAATGCACAGAAGATTAACAACAGGGAACTGTCTTTAAAGCCATCTCTTCCTTTTTCTTGGCCTATTACACCTTGCACGTGAAAATCTTTGTAGAGAAGACATCCTGTCTCATCCTGCTCTATTACTCTGTATGGGCCAAATTGTTCCTTTCTCATCCAGTACACAAAGATGATGACAAAGAGAAACTTCATGGGACTTCACTAATTAAAGGAAAGAAATTAGCTGGCTATGGAACTAATATTTGGCCACTATCACCCACCCACGGACTGCTTCTCTTGCAATAAAATGAATCTTTATGATGCTTGCTCAGGCGAAAATGTAAAAATATTTGAAGCAATCCACACTACCAAAAGACTGGCTATATTCTTTTCTTATCAGAGCTAACGGCACAAAGCTGAACAAAGCCAAAATTCAAGAAAGCTCTTCACAGGGATAAAGTTATAAGCATGCTTTGGCATTTTTGTAAACAGGGCTGATAACATTTTTTACATATTTTTGTGATGATACTATTTACTGATAATACCCAGCATTTATATAATATTCAAATTTCATCCTCTCAATAAATCTGCAAGGTAGGTGGGCATATCCTTTTTATCTTTATAGAAAGGAAAATGATGTTGCGGTTAAGTAATGCGCTCGAGGTCCCTCAGTGAACAGCATAACAATATTCTGGAGCTTCTGCCTCACCATTGTGGGCTATGTTCACACAGCCATGTGGTTTCTCAGACAAGATTTGGAAATATGTTTCGTATATTTTAAGGTATTCAAAAACTTTACATTTTTTGAATATGGATCAATGAATTGATTTTCCAATTTCTGCTTCAGCATGCAATACTCAGAAGAAAGGTGCCAAAAGCCTTGAAACCATCTTCTTCGAGCTGGTTGAGAATACAACATTACTTCCTTTAACTGGAGAGAGATTGGAAAGATTAACAGCAGGACAATTCCTATAAATGAATTTTTCATGTAATGGCTCTTTTTCAGCATCACCTACTTTCAGTCGAAGTATTGCCCAGCAATAAAAATACACTGCCCATCTTGCCATTTATACTGAAGATATGGTGTAAACTACAAACATGGAGAAAGAACTTAAAGAGCACCTCCATCCTGACTCACAGGCATACAGAAAGTTTAAATTTCTTACCTGGGCTGTTTTTGCAGTTTGATCTGCATGACTTAAAGCCGTTCTGGCATCATTGTCAGAATCAGATTCTGTTTGCCTCGGAGAAGCATGCAGTTTCTTTGCAAGATCTGTATCCTTATTATAGGAGTATCCAAGCTTAGAAGTAGGAGATAAACTTGGCTTTGTGACAGGTGAACCAGGATCTGCTCTTGTGCTCTCTGTGGATCCTATACATCCCAGCTTTTCCTGCTCTGAGAAACCAATGGTACTGCCTGAGATCTGGTGTCTCTTCTTGTCATTATCTTCACAAGCAACTGTGGGAGATGCATCCTCTTTTTGATCACTGACATGTGCCAAGTCACTCAAGTCTAAAGTGTCGGCTATCAGCAGTTTCTTCCTTCCAAATGTAGGCTGCGCTTGCGTTGTATCTGTACTGCTACACTTCCCAACGTCTTCAGACGCAGAAGTCCTTCCAGAGCTCTGCTGGGATTTTTGTGGATCCGTGTCACTTCGAGTCCTGCGAGAAGAAGGGGAAGCTGTGCTTGGGCTTAAATGGTCATCGGGAGTCTGATGCTCGCTCTCAGATTCGCCAACACCACTGTCATTTACAAATACGGAGTCGTCCTGAGAAGCAAAGTCTGCCAAAGCACTGTCCGGTGGATGCAGCTCAGGCTCCCGGTTCAGGTCGTTCAGCTCTGCATAGAATTTTTCCTGGTCGACAGAACTGTTTGTGTCCGTTTCATAGTTACCCACTTTATATGTGCTTTTACTACTGTTCTCCTCTATTTGAACCACGTTTAATTCCTGGCCACAGAAATGTGCCCTTATTTGATAGAGATAGGTCATAACAGTCAGTTTGTCAGGTATCGCTAATAAAACCATGTCAGAAGGTTCCAGCAATCGCGATATTCCTAAACTGGCAAACCCATCATATGCCTTTAAAAACAGACAAAATAAAGATTACAATGTGGTAGTTTCTTACATATCATAACATTTCAAGAATGCAAGTGGAAGTTACAGTCAAAATAAGCAAGCATAAAACATATCCAATATTACAGGAACAGTATGGGTTCAACTCTATTACTTATTATTCTTTTGGCTTCATTACAGTAGTTACTATTTTTTGTTGCACAATCCAGTCTGAACTCGAATTTTCCTGATGGCTTCTAGATATCTTCCAGGGTATCTTCATAGTGATGCAAATTGAGAGAATATGAGCAGAGAATAAGACGCTCAAATGGCATTGTTTTAAATATTTTTAATGTACTACCATATCATACTATACTAAAATCTTTGGTTACTCAAAATTATGCCACTTTCATGAGTAAAAAACTGTTCATGAAACTGCAACTTAAAAACCCTTCTGTTTGCACTAAGAAAACCTACCAATATCTTAAATGGTTCTCACTCAAGTAGCAGGAAACAAGCAAATAAAGTGTAAGAGTTAGACCAGAAAAAAGCAACTAAGGATGGCTTTTTAAGATAAGGAACAAAGATATAAGAAACACAACACTAATCCATCTTGGGCTTTATCACTGGTGATCAACCTTCTCCCTTCTACTAGTCATGTAATTGCAGTGATTTGTGTTGATGAAAAACTATGTCCAGATAGCCAAAAAGAACACCATCACAGATGACTTGATACAAGACATAAATCACATTAATCCAGCAAACAAATGTGTTGTAAAAACATTTGTTGATGCTAAATTTATAAGAGAGAGAGTGAATTTCATTCCCACTTCACTTTCATTTCTAAAAGCTAAACAGTTTGCAAGCCTCCCACTTTGTGAGGCCACATTGTCTTCTTTCTGCTAGCCCTTTAAGTGAGTGGGCTTGGTGCATCAGGTTTTTCTAGTTTTGAAGAATTAAAGCCGTTTCTCAATTTACAATTAATTGTTACTATCCTGGATTAACCCTGGAAGACAATATTGTGTTTCAAGGAAGCCTTTAAAAAGGCCTCCTGTTAGTATAGATGCACTCAGTTAAAACACTCGGGCTTCTCCTCCCCCAGTAATTTTGCAGCTCCTTTTCACCCTTTTCTGAAGGGGTCGAAAATGTTCACAGTTGTTCCTACACTATTTTGAACAAAAACAGATGCTAAATTTAAGACATGGATGAGAACCTGTCCTTTCGCAAGGAAACAATAACACACATCGCTGGCTTCAACTCTACCTCGGTTTTATACTATTTCCTTAATTTATATAGTTTTAGAAGGGTGGAAGAAAGAAAGAAAAGAGAAACCAATATGATTTTTTTTATCCTCTTGGTTTTCATGCTAGTAAATGTTCAATGGTGAGTCAGAATGTGGGTCTGGCCTGGCTGGCTCCCGGCAGACCCGATTATTTTACTTGCTCTAAGAAAAGGAGGCGCTCTCATTCCCATTGCGATGTACTGGAGTCACTCCCTACTTGAGGGTCAAGTAGTTTTCATTTCAGCCACTTTTCAAACTCTGCTTCTGAGAGCTGGAATTTATCTTCCTGAAATTTTGTATGCTTCCCCTCATGCTCAGGTATAACTTGCCAAAGCATTTTTGGTGAAGTAATTTTTATATCTCTATAACAAATGGTTCAGAGAGTTTATGTAGACATAGAAATTATCTGAATAATTTATTGTTAAGCCCTTCTGGCTCTCCCTGTGCAAAATGATTTGGCTTAAAATCATTGCTGGTCTTTGTGGGGTATAATTTCTTAGGAAGGTTTATTATGAGAGACTGTTATGCCATTTATAAAAGCAGAGCTGTGCTTAGATATAGGAGTAGCAGTGGAAAACATGAATGTTGTACTTGCTGATACAAAGCTCCAGACAGAGCAGAATAGCAGGAAAATGATGTCTGGGAGGGAATGGAATGAACTGGGATGGTAGAAGAGGGACAGCTGTCATTTATCTGGTTTTGGGACACAGAGCTGGAGGAGCAGGATCAGGCTGGATACAGAGGAGAGGGAGACAAGAGAGGTGGACCCGAACAGACATGAGGAGCACAGAAAAGAGAGTTAAAGCAGAGCAGTGCAGGGATTTGGGTGGGCAGCCTAAGCCATGGCAGGTACCAGGAATGATGAATGCTCATACGCCAGCAGAAAACATGCTGGTATGAAAGCACAGCAAGCCAGCTGTGTTGTCCTGTGGACCAAAGGTAACACCAGGATTTGTTGTTTGATTAAGTGGGTCAGTGTCGATTCAGTGGCATAAATAACCTGTTCCCCCACACTGAAGGTAGTGGGAGTTACCATATGAAGAATGAAAGGACCTAAGGATGGGCTTAGCAGTCCATGGCAGCCAAAGTCCATAGACATGACTTGACCTGAACTCTTTTATACTCTTAATTTCTTATTTATATGCTAATAAAACTAAATCCTCGGAATATCTCCCAGGGTCTGTAAAATGAAGGTGGGGACAGTGTTTCAGAGTTGTTAGGAAAGGCACTTGCTTAGAATGGGTAATGCTAGAGCAGAAGGATTGAATTTGGAATGATGGATATTCTTGATACAACTGCAATCACTTTTTTACTGTCTGCTCGGTTCTTTAGTGATGCTTGGGACTAAACACAATAGTTTTCCACTGATGCCGGATACTTATTTCCTATCCCCTCTCCTTCTCATTCTGGACAATACACATTCTTGCTTCTCTGCTTTTAAAGTGCACTAGATACCTAGATTGGCACACAAATGTTTTATAGTCATTAGTTCTATAAATAGCAATCGTATGTTCTGTATGTGTCAATATAGCAGTGTGTGATGGGTTCTCCTTCACTGTTAGAAAAGCAGGGAGCTTCTTGATATTCCGGTGTATTTATAAATGTCTAGTGTTTCTAACTAGTTTGTAACTAGTTTGTAACATGGTATTAACAGAGTAAATTTTCCAAGTCAAATAACTTTTTGTTAAACAGAGGCATAACTAAGCCTCGATTTTGCAAATGTTTATATGCATGTTTAACTATGCTCCTGCATGATCCTACCAAGGTCAACAAGCAACTCCTACACACACAATTAAATATGTGCTTATGATTTTGTGGAATCAAATAGTAGAAGCGAGCACGAACATCTGTTATAAAAATATGGCTGCCAGCTCAAAGGTAAGGAATTTTTTTCCATTTTGACTCAATGCTATCCCTGTAATTCTGAATTCTTCTGTTTAAATATATATTTTAAAAGGATTCCTTCCTTGCGAAATGGAATATTTTGTCAAGACAATCACTCGAGTTCAAATGTGTTGAGGAGTTTAGTAGAAATGGTCAAAAACTGGGGAAAAAAGAAAGGAAAAAAAAAAGCATGACAAAAATTGAAAGTGCCAATCGAACATCCAGAAGATATATTAATATTTCCACACAATAATCCCTCAAATGAAACAAGCTTCTCTAAACGATAAAGTAATTAAAAACAGAAGTTCATTAGTAGAACCATACTGTTGTGCCCTTCCACTTCTCGCCCTTTCATCCCCTCCAATCTCCAGCCAAGTGTAGTTCAGTAGCTTACATTTTTAAAGTGCAGGACATGTTATTAGCAATATGAAAAATTTCTATTCTTGATTAAGGACTATACTGCCAGTATGCTGTAATTTTAACACATTTTTCATTATTATTTACCAATAATGAAATGGAAATAGTAAATAAAATTAGTTGGTTAACGTTATTGGGAAGGCTATATGGACAGTTAGATATATGTGACATTTAAGTAGAACTGTAACACTTTGGATCAGCTGGGAAGGTATCCCTGTAATGTTTTTAATTTTCTCAAAGATAATCCTGGTTTCTCTTTTGTTCCTCACAGAAATTTGAATTTGCAAGGAGCACAATGCACCGAAAATATATCTGAATTCTGACGTTAATGTAAACTGGAGTAGTTGTTGGTTTTTTTTTTTTTGTTTTGGTTTTTTTAGAGACATAAAAATATTGTGGAAATTACAATACATACATACACACACACGTATGTATATTCAAGCCACTAAACCTACTTACCTATCTCCTGATGAAGTTTTTTCTTTTTTATTTTTTAATTTACTGACAAGCTGATTGACAGACATCAATTGGGATCCATCAGCACAAGCACCACAGGCAGTATTCCAACCATTTCCCAACTATGTAAGACACTGACATATTGGCCGAGATCAGATGTCACAGGTAAATACCCTTTTTTATTCTGCATCAGTGGCAGCACCAATTTGGCAAATGACTAATGTGCGTTACAAAGAAACTCCGATGATGCGCTTTTTGTAACAGTGCATTTCAATGTGTAACTATACACAGTAATTGCACTGAAATAGTTGTCTCTTAAGATTTCTTTTTTTATTAAAATACAAACGAGGTCACGCACTTCTAAAAGATATAGTCTTATGGGTTAATGGGTTAATCTTGGTCACAGTCACCTCTTACCTCCTTTCCTTGGGGGGGGGGGGGGGGGAAAGGGGGGGGGAAGAGATGCTTCAGACAAAGAAAATTGTCCTATTCATCCATAGATGTTATTTTAATTGGTTAGGTGGAATCATTGTCAAATGTGTTACATATCTGCATGGAATTTATAGGCAGCCATTGTTGCCAGTGCTGCATTCACTCAACCAAGGGCACATGGGGTTATCAGGCAGAACTGTGTGAGACCAGGAAATAAATCTGCAGGAAGCAACTGAGATACTCAATGTAGCTGTCAGGTGAAGGCTTGCAAAGTGATGAAAGAAAAAAACTGCACAATAACAACAATCATTACTTCTTCAATCCTGGGAACTATATCCTGTTAGAGAGACGGGCTAAAAAGTTCACCATTTACCATCACAGTTTCATAAAGAAAAGATGACTGATCGTACCGCTAACATTTTTAATTAATAAACTAGACTTTCTTTTTTATAATCCGGCTTAATTAGCCTGGACGTTCAACGAAACTTGAAGTACAAAAACATATGGTCACAGAAAACACTGTGATGTCATGGATAATCCACTTAGGTCATCATAAGACCCTGTATTATTATGAAAAAGATATCATTGGCCAAATCACTCATTAGATAACAGTAGCTCAGAGATATTTCATTATTTTTAATACTTAAGTACTATTTTAAAGACAAGTAACTCCCTGGCTAACACATAAGTGTGCAGGCACATTAAAATGTAATTACCCTAAACACAAATGAATTTTAATAAAGTGCTTTCAGAAATTCCACATATCTACAATCTAATATTCTTTAGTTATATTTGCTGTATAATACTGAACCTAATTAATTTAGTCAAAGTATATTTTTATACCTTCATCCCAATTCAATTTAGTGTTTTTAAAGCAGTATAAAAATAAAATCACAGCATTGAGAAGGCAGCTACTTAAAAACAATTTTCAGATGACCTTCAGGAACAATTTTATTATCAGTGACTCACATGAAAATTATGATTTCTAAACATGTCCCTAGGGCAAAACTGAAGTTTGTAACATGTCTAAAATAGTGAGCAGAAATAAAAAAAATCTTCTGGTGATTTCCAAATTGAGTTCCTGTATCTTCCAGAGAAACTTTTTACATTTTTGCATCACAAAGGTACAAAGAGTGGTTTAAAACAGCTGCTCAGCACAATGTTATCAACTATTTTGCTAATATTTCAGTTTATTTGCAAAGTATTGCCTCAACACTTTTTATCCTAAACTTTCCATGTTGCATCCACTACTTCACTCAGCTGCGCAGTATAAAAGTAGGTGTAAAATTTCATCTTTAAAAATATAAAAATCACCATCAAAGCAACATCGACTGCAACCGATGCACGGAGCCCTGTTAAAGCAACAGAAAGCAAAGTCTTGCATACGACAAACCAAGAGCAGTTACGATTTTCATTTTTTTTTTAATTGCGTGGCTGATTGGAAAAATGAGAGAAGTGATCACAGAAGGCTGGCCAGCCCTTTCCTCCGCTTTCACAGTTAATGTAGGCCATACAAATATTAAACTCTAATGCCGGCCTTGCACTTGTTGTGAATGTTAAAGACCATGACAAACTAGAGTCAATAATGCATCCGATTTGAACCGCGGGAGGTTGAATACCTTCTGTGAGCCGCAGTTGTGACCTTACGAAACAACCCCACTTTCCCAAAATTAATAAAAACCTGCAGTGAAGCCAAAATTGAAGCTATGTCTTTTTTTTCCTGGCAGTTCTTACCTTTTTGTTGTTCTCTTTAATATCTTGAGGATTCAGGAACTTGTAGTCACTGAGGGGGAAAATGGCACAGTGGGTATGTACAGTATTTCTTAAAAGCAGCAGTTTTAAAACAAACTGAATCTAAAAATTTGACATACAATAATATCATACAGTAACTAGCAATTTCACAGCAATTCAATCAACAAAACTAATAGTGTGGAAAATTAAAGGAATAAATAAATAAATAAATAAATAAACAAACACCGATTACATGTTTCATTGCCTGAAGCTTTCCATCTAAAAAAGAAGTTAAGGCAGGGACTAGAGGCCGGCCTTGACAACCAAATTTACCAGGAGGTAATCCGTCCTTGTCAGCGTACAAAGAGCTACAGGCTTATTCCTCTCATGTCATTTCAACACTGGCACAATTTTCATAATCATCTTGAAGTCAGTTCTTTGTATAAGATTAAGAAGAAGAAAAACAAATCACAGAGAGGGGAGAAACAATTGTTTATGCAACAAGGGAGAGCAAAGAGGTCATAAAGTTTGAGCATTAATAAATCTGTTTTCTTAGAAAGAATGGTTCCCTGCTTGAAAGAAAAGGGTGCAAACAGTTCAACACCCGAAATGAACAGGGATTTGATTTTTACATAAACTTAAATGTTGCATATTTCTAGGAGAGTTAGCTTACGCAGACAGAGAGTATACAACTTACATTAGGTCTGGTCTAAAGTGATGTAATATTGCACAAAAGGATAAACCATTTCTCCACGATGTAGTAAAATTGGTGATTTTCACTCCCCTATAGTTTTTTGTAACTTCTTTGCACCACACAAGCAGTGACTGACTAGCGTTTGGCTTTCTCCCCAAAACAGGACTTGGTATTGGGCTTGGCTGAAAAAAAAAAAAGAAAAGAAAAAAGAGAAGAAGATAAAAGAATTTAATGGAAGATGAGAATTAACATTAATTGACCTAACTAGATGATCTGTATCCTTTGATGTGAGTTTAGGTTCTTCACAGCTGTCAGTTTACAATGACTGTAACTTGCAAAAGACACAAATCGCAAGTTATTATCTCCAGTCGTTGCCCTTGGCACTTGTCTCCAAAGGATATAGATATACGGGATTCCAGATCTACATAGGAGAACAGGCCAAGAATTGTACCAGTGGAAACACCGTGCTGAAATACTTAAGGCATAGTCCTACACAGCCCGTGATACACACCCTTGAAAAGATTTCCCAAAATGCAGCCATGGAAAAGCATCCCCACAAGCCCTTTTGCTTTTAATGAAGATAATGCTGCGACTGGATCAAAAGCCAGGCATAGCAGGGGCAGAGTTTACCACGAGTTGCGATCTACCATTGCAGTGTGGGGATCAAAGTCACTGCATCTGCGACATACGATTAATGCATTCATCTCATACAAGCTCCAGCGTAAAGTTTTCGGCTGCGCTCTTCCTGTTTAAGCGCGTGATTGCATAAAGGTTAATTATGGCACGGTGTTTCTAAACAGCCACTTCCAACCATACCCAAAGAGCTTCCTCTTCCAGGCTTTAGTTTTTCTACGTGGAAAAGGAATTTCGGCCGTAAATCGTTATCAGAAGGTGGTTTCTAACAAGTATCATTAGCTAATAACAACCGTTTCCCAAAAGGGTATTTTGACACTTTTAGTAACGTTTTTGTTAGCACAAACAAAGAATTAAAATGGAATAAAATATTTCAGGCATTTGGCATTTGTCAGACTGTCTGCTGTTTCTCAAATTCAGCAGAGAACGTACTGATTGCAGCTGATGTTTTCAAGAAATATGCACTCATTTCACCAGAAAAATTGTCACTTTAAAAACTTCTTAGATGTAATTAAACAGACAGAATTTGACTGACATAAATCAAAAGTCTGAATTATAGGGAAAGAACTGAGCCCACTTATTTCTTCAATGTAATATAATTAAAAGCATATATACACAGCAAGCATGCTGGTTATGCACCTTATAGCTAGAGTTCCCAAATTAAGATAAAAATAGAGCAAGTAATTTACTATACCACAGCCACTTAAGTTTAACAAGTAAATCCTTTTGGCCATATTACCTATATGTGAAAGACCAACGATGCCCCCACTTGACTAAAGTATGTCAGTGCTAAGCAATTAGCTGCTAGCTACCAACTGATTTATGTTTTCACTGCTTCTGGGGAAGAAAATGTACAGAACCAGGAAAGTAATTTTTGATTTACTGTGACAGTCAGCCCTAAAATGTTGTTTTATAAAGACATCTACCTCATCATTAGATAGAAGCACTGCCAACTCATTTAGAAAGTGCAAAATGTATACCTTGCTGAGATGCTTTTAAATACTGGATCATATGTACAAAATAACTTGTTAAAAAGCATTTCAGTTTTTTTTTTTAATCCTGTCAACGATTCAAATCAGCATGAACAAATCTGTTAATGATGAGACAAATATCTCTAAATACACTGAATTAACATCTTAACAGGGATATACAAAATAGAGAAGAAAGAAGGGAATAAAAAGCAGCAATGAATGATAAATTTTCTTTACCATGCATCAGATTTTAATCAAAGAAACAAATATTGCTTAGGAGCTGCCACACAGTTACTCCAGATTCAGAGTGATGTAACTAAGATCAAGTTTTTCTCCTGTTTTTTTACATCTTGAAGCAAAAGCCAGTAACTAGCCACTGACCCCAGATTTAAGGTACTAGATTGCTTAAAATATATTTGCTATCTAACTTATATATATTGAAATAACACTGCTGGGAGAAAATAATTAAAATAGCACTATCAAGATGTGGAAAAATGACATTTTAACAATTTTTTAAAGCACAGAGCTACTTCTTCAAAACATAGAGCGCTACTTACCAGATATATTAAATGTCAACTATAAAGTTTTAGTACTTGTTGCTGAAACTCTCTACAGAAATGTTAAATGTTCCAGTCACCACCTAAATACCTTCTGGTTAAGTCTGAAATGGCCTTAGGCAATATTACCATTCAAATGACTTAATTACACATTTAATAAACTGAAGATGTAACTGATTTTAAAACTAGGTTTTACAAAAGAACATCCAAAGCTATTAAATAAATTTAGCAGAATTTTGCATTTTATTTACAAATTATCAATTTTTTAAAATCCAGATTACAATTCCTTGAAAATCTATACTTAAGTTGGAGCTTTTTTGCCATGTTTGTCCTTCCATTTACTTCAGATTTTCTAAAAGTATTTTATCCAGAATATGCAAGATTTAGGATGTGCATAATGTACTTAACACAGTTTTCTTTTCTCTAGCTGATAAAGCAGAAATTATATACAGCTTTCTTTCCAGACTTAGTACTCCAAGTTTTTTTGGATAAAGGTGAAGTTAACGTTATGATAATGTTATGCTCTTATTCACCACCTGAGTCAAAGCTTTCGTTATTTAATCTATGATAAACGCATTCAACTCAAGACACACTGGAGATATATGAGTAATGGCAGAATTGTGCATGAGCACTTGACATCCCTTCAGAAGGGTTAACAAATGTTAGTTTTGATTTTTTTGTGAAGCATCATTATGAAAAACATTTTCTTTCAATACCTGTAGGTTATACATATTAGTTACAGGTTCAGTGCAAACACAATTACTATGAAGTGCCTATTTCTACAATGTATTTGCTCTACAAGATTGGTAGGAACTCATCAAATGAAATGGAAATTTAATTAGTTTTTTCTTACATAACTTTTAAGTACTGACTACACAATTCTTCTAAACCACACGGTAGTCATGACTTGGCTTTTTGAGTTCAAAAGCCAAAGTCTCTAAGAACTCGTTTGGAAATACTACTAAAAAGCATGAGATATCCACAACAGATTGCCAGATCTGCTCGCTGATCAGCAGGTTACTGAATCTAATGCAACTGATTTTTATCCAGCTATGGATTAACTGTACGGCAAGTGCAAAGGTTCCAGAGCTGGTCCCTCACATACTAGCTCAGATCTAGATGCAGCATCATGTGGGTGGATTTATTAGCTGGAGTCAGCACTAGCTTCAGGATATCTTTGTTTTACAGTCCACAGAAGCACTGAAGTCTTCTTTATTCTTCTTTTACATGTTCTGGAAGCTTAATTAATACGTTTTATAGTGTATGCATTTTTCCTCTTGGGAGATTATCCCATCAGACCATTACTCTACGTTAACAAGAGGACAATAGCTTTAAGTATTAGGCTGCATCCCTACATTTCAAAATATTTAAATAATGGTTTTGCTGTTCTCAGGAATGCAGCACCAGGTGCACTGATGGTTCGCAAAGTGAGGGTTGAGCTGCATCTCTGACACACATAGGCTCAGGAGAAGAAAATCAGGATGGGAACTGGTGATGGGAATACGGGGCTATGAACCAAGCCCTCGTATGAGACATGGGGAGCAGCCAGAATGAAGATCATAGGGGCTCAGTCTGAGCGACTCTCAAGAGCTTGTTGACAGGTTGCATGGGGGTAGAGGAGTTTAGAGAGCAAGAGGCAGTGTTGAAGGCTGGAAGAGAAAGATGCTGAGAGGAGTAAGGAAAAAAAAAGTACGTAACAGCCGTGGGAATCTGGGTGGAAGACTTATGTGGTTTGAGTTTTATATTAATGAACATAACTCCCCAAAGAGGAAAGGAGTTGAGAGAACAACCTAGGAACGATAATTAACTGCAGGAGGAGAGGAAGCTGAGATTGAGATAGGGCTGACAGTCAGAATAGGGAAGACCCACAACAATCAACAAACAAGTTCTGTTCCTCAAGAAGCAAGTACAGGCAATGGTCTCTTACTTATTTGCGCAAAATAAAAGTGATTTTCCCTTACCCCTATCAAAACTACAATGCTGTCTAGGCTCAGTGAAAATTGTGAAACCATTAAAATGCAAGATAAGGTAAATGAAAGTAATACACAACTAGGTGAGACAAAATGTGCAGCATACGGCTGGATGCAGAAAAAGTTTGGGAAACTCAGCTGAACTGAGCAGTCTGAAAAATGGTATAAAGGTGCAATATAAACAAGACACCCAAATACATTTCAGTCAAATAGATAATTTTATGTCATCAAGATGATACTCTAGAATTTTATTTTTTAAACAACACAGGGCTCTACCCATAGGAATTGCTTAGCCCGGGAGTATTCTAAATTGAATATGGCTCATTTAATAGAATTTATGCCTTTGGTAAGGTCTGTACGTGTCCAATGTGCATTCAGTTTTGTTTATTCTGGGCTGTGGAACAGTCTGGCCATAAGTCAAAAGCTGATTTTTAACTAGTATCAGGACCGAAATAGAATATGGAAATCGAGTCTGCAAAGATAGAATAAAACTGCTTTGTGTTTTATTCCAAAGATGGAAAAAACATCCTCATGACCCAGCTGTGCTGAGATGCTCTTTATTTAGGCTAGTTAGTTGTTTTTTAAGTAGCAGCTCACCATAACATTATGATGGCTTCAGTGACACAACAAAATACAAGTGGCATTGCTCTTTGCTTCTGGTAAGGGAATTGCATGCACGTATTAGAAAATATACATTTCCCAGACAGAAATGTTAGGAGTTCTGCTATCCTGTTACTCTGATACACAAACTTATCAGTTTAGGAGTACATTCTTTAACTTTGTTGCTCTCTATTTGCATGGCATGGTGCATGATTACACACAATGTCTCTAGTCCCTACTGCCCCTAACAATGAAGGAGGATCTGAAAACCCAGCTGCCTGGTACAAGTTATAGATTCAGTGAATTTGTTTCCAATATATGATTATAGTATTTAGGTAACCTCCAGGTTTCTCCAGCATCAGACATCTTAAAACTTTGCCTTCCTTACTCTTCTGATTGTGCCTACAGCTAATGTGGATATGCAACAGAATATAAACTTTTATCTTAAAAG